AGAGAGAGAGAGAGAGAGAGTTTTGTAACAGTGTGTGTGTGCGTCACACAGAGAGAGAGAGAGAGAGAGAGAGAGAGAGAGAGAGAGAGAGGACCATTTTTTCAGGTTTGTAACAGTGTGTGTGTGCGTCAGAGAGAGAGAGAGAGAGAGAGAGAGAGAGAGAGAGAGAGAGGTTTTTGAAGAGATGTAATGGTGCTGGTGGTGTATCAGCTTGTGTGATAAATTAGTTCATATAATATATTAAATTATTAATTAATTTGGTTTTTCAACTTTTTTCTTTATCTTCCCCTATGTCTTTGATGTGGAACAGGTGTGCATTGTCTGACTTGCCTTTTCTGTTTGTGGAATTTTTATTTATTTATTTATTTTTCCTGGTCTTGTTCTCGGGATCAAAATCACATGAGCTTTTGTGAAAAAGAGAAGCACATGAGCTTTTGCCCTTCTGCTGCTCTCGAGATTTCTATTCTTGTTGAGGTCATCTTAAGACCCCTGCGTTATTAACTTTTAACACAACGAACTAAGGTACCTCACTGGTTTTGGTGCAGAGGTTTCTGTCTCTTTTCTTCTTCTTCTACTACCTCTTCTATTAACGTTCTTCTGGTCTCGAAAAAAAAAAAAAAAAAAAAAAAAAAAAAGCTCTTCTGGTGGGATGTAACGCTACGTTGTGAGTCTCGTGACCTACCCCGACCGCATTCTGCCCATGTGTGAGATGGGCCGTCCGATAAGCAGCGAATTTCCTGGCCTCTATCGATGGCTTGCCTGAAAATGGCACTGAAAAAAAAAAAAAGTTCAAAAAATGGAAACTACAGGCGGCGCCACTACTCACTGCGCAAGAAAAAAATGAAACCCTGTAAAGAAAAGAAAAAAAGAAACGTGATGGGCCTCAAGGCCCACTACCTAGCTGTCACAAAAAGGCGGGAAAAGAGAGAGCAGATAGAAGGGGGGGGAAAACAAAGACAAGGGGCTGATACTGGGCCTGGACACACCACTTTTTGGTCAGTGGTGCATCGAGGCCCAGTATCGGCCTGTTCCGCTTTTTTGGGTGGGCGGATTGTGTTCGTGTGATTTTTATTCAGATCGGATGGCAGGGACCCGTGGATCCTTGAAACATCTCTGAGCCCTCCCAAGTGAAGTACGGCACCCGGTCATCCCATCCCATCGCATGTGGCAACGCCTGTTTCAACTTGCGATCGCGCTGCATTGAGACGATGGTGGTGGTGTCTCTCTCTCTCTCTCTCTCTCTCTCTCTCTCTCTCTCTCTCTCTCTC